CCTCCGTGCTGGCTATTCCACTTCAGTTAAGAGGCTGTTGTGCTTGGTGACGGTCGTCGACTCTGACTCCATTCATTCCGCAGTGCTGCATAGCGGTGTTGTTGTTTGTGATGGTGGTGTGCGAGCCAGATGTAACACAAGAGTCCAGGGGCTGCTTGCCCCTAGAGCCACCTTCCCTAGGTGCCCTGTAAATACTGCCCCTGTGGCCTAAGGTTATCTTCCACTGAGCGGTTCGTGAACTACCTTCGCGAGGTTCGGTTGCTGCTCAGTCATTGCCTGCCATTGGGGTTCAGCTTGGGTGGTTCTTACTCCTGTCTGCTCTTGGGTATCTTCTTGAGGTTATCTTGAGATGATTTCGGGGCTTTTAGTGTCCCCGCGGCCCGGTCCTCGACCAGGCCTCCACCCCCAGGAAGCAGCCCGTGACAGCTGACTAATTCCCAGGTACCTATTTACTGCTAGGTAACAGGGGCATTCAGGGTGAAAGAAACTTTGCCCATTTGTTTCTGCCTCGTGCGGGAATCGAACCCGCGCCACAGAATTACGAGTCCTGCGCGCTATCCACCAGGCTACGAGGCCTTGGGTAGGAGATAGTTTCATTACTGGCTGGAGGACGGGGTACTGTGCAGCTGTCTGATATATGTATAGCGACCGGTTCTGTTCCCCCTGGAGACGTTGGGCTTTTGCGGGGTTTTTCTTTTGTTTTTGTTTTATTTTGACTGGTGTGGCTGTAGGACCAATTGTACGATTTTGGTGGCTCTCCACTCAACCCGTCCTCTTAAAAATAACGTCACTTTTGGCTCGTATGCGCGATATGGCTAAATTTGGACGTAATTTGAAATGAAATCGACTCGCAAAAGTGACGTTTTGTTCCGTTTTCTGTTTGAGTCGGCCGGCGTACGCGCAGAGGTTATAAGAGGACACGTTAAATTCACGTTTTTCATAACGTTTTGAAACTTTATGAGAATTTCCTGCCCACCTAACCTATCAGAGGACCCTTAACTTACTGTTGTTGAAAAAAAAAATCCCAAATTTATTTTCATATTTTTTTCATTTTCAAATTACGTCCAAATCCGGCCATACGGGCAAACGGCCAAAAGCGACGTTCTTTTTAAGAGGACAGGTTGGTCCACTAGGTCCCCGTGCTTGCACACGTCGCAGGGGTTCAGCTTTTAGTTTGTTGCTTGGTAGCTGTGGCATAACCTTGCTTGTACTCCAGTTCACCCCAGCCCACTGAGATTGATATTCGGATGCAGGCAGCTTCAGCATTACATGCACGGTTTAGATTGCTGCAACGTGTGAAGTTGGTTGCCTTTCCGGGTGCCCTACAACTGCCCCTCTTTGGTTATAGGGACCCGGACTTGGGGGTGTTAGTCGTCTCGACTTTGGTTTCATCCGCACTTCCTAGTCCTTCCCCTGTTGTGGTTCATCTTGTTCTCCATTCCATCTCCCAAACTTTTGAGGATTTCAGAGTCAGGGCAGGGTTTGCCTGGTAGTAAAACTCGGGCGGCTTTGGGGCACTTCCGGATCGGTGTCGGAGGAATTCGAGCCTGTTCCTCCTGCCGGAGCTTTTAGGTCACACCATTGGGCCCCCTTCATCCCTGCCTTCCCGGTGGATTCTGCTTTTTTTTCCAGAGGCAGAGGATTTGAAGGACGGCTCGGCCCTGGGTCCAGACGTGGAGGATCCCGGGGCTGGGGAGGAGTTGACTTGGGGGAGCTTGGGCCCCATTTGACCCTGCTTGGGTGTTGATACACTCGGCACGAGGCTTGTTGTTACAGGGGGAGGGGTTTTCCTATCCCCCCCTCCTTGAAAAATGTTGAAATGAGTTCGACTCCTCCCCGGGTTCAGTTCCGGGTTCCTTTGGGTTCTTTGGTTCTCTCCTTCCAGATGTTTTCGGTTTCTTGCATCCCACCGAGGAAGGTGTGGAAGGCCATTACGGCTTTCCTCCTGCGTCCTGCGAGACCCGGATTACACCTCGATAATGGATCCTCTTTCTTTTGAGTTTGGTTCCTCTCTTCCTTACTGGGTGCGTTACGAGGTGCCGGAGTCTTCTTGGCAGGCAGACTGCCCTTTCTTTTCTTTGGGGGCTTGGTATTCATTCTGTCAGACCCACACACTTAAATGGCGGGAGTTGACTATGGTTATTCAGGTTTACCTGGGGGGACGAGTTTCAGCACCTCAATGCGTGCTTGTTCACTTCCGTCCTTGCTCGTGATGTCGGCCAGGTGCAGCTTCTCGTGCAAGTTCCTTCCCATTTGGTGTCCCTGGTAGTTGAGGATTTGCAAGCCCGTGGGCTCGATCTTTGGCTACGGTCTTGCTCTTTGTTTCCCTGCTGGAGATGTCTTCTGACTGACTCGAGTAGGATGCCGGGGAGATGGGTTCTGGGCCGGTGTCCAGTGCGCTTGATTCGGCAGCTCTGGCGTCGGCTGCCTTGTTGAAGCTGTATGCACGGATTCTGAAGAATACAAGGAGGCGGTGTCTGTTCTTTGCTTCTCGCTTTCCGTGCTGACAGGCGGTGTTCGTCCACCTTTTGGAATCAGCTTGGGCCCTTGTTCCTGGATATACGTCCCCCTTTTTTGTCAGTTGCTGTTTGCCGAGTCTTTGGTGGTGTATTTTCTGCAGGCAGCTTTGTCTAGTTGTTGGCCTATGTTGGACTTGTTGGGGGGGGGGCTGACTTCTCCGGGAGGGGGGAGCTGTGGTGTTCTTGCCCAGAAGGTTCATGCCAGGGCTTGGGGTTCCTGGGGGAGGCACACACTGTTTGCTCTCACCTGGTCCCACGATTCGTGGGCGTTTCAGGTAGTTTCCTCCGGCCTGTGGGGACCGGGGTTGGGAGGGCAGGCCACTTCCCTTCCACTCTGTCTGATCATCTTTTTTGTGGGTTTACTTGGGCGTGGTTGAAATTATGGCATCCCTCAGGTGGGTTTGCTGCCTGTTTTCAGTTCCGAAGCAGAAAGGTGCGGATCTGCGATTTATTCTGGACTTGTCCTGTTTGAACAGTGGGTCTTTTGCCCAGTCTTTTGGATGACCTCTTTATCTCAGGTCCGGCTGAGATAAAGCTGGACTTCAGCCAGCTGTGCGAGAGTCTGAACTTTATCGTGCTGGTCTACCTGTCGGATCGGATCTGACTTTGGTGGCTGTTCTGGTTCCTTCGGGGACATCCCTTCCGCCACTCTCGGGATCGCTGGGTTGCAAAATGGACACTGCAAAAAGGGCAGTGTCTTCTGTGTGTGTGTGTGTGTGTGTGTGTGTGTGTGTGTGTATTCACCTAGTACTCACCTAGTTGTGTTTGCGGGGGTTGAGCTTTGCTCTTTCGGCCCGCCTCTCAACTGTCAATCAACTGTTTACTAACTACACTAACTAATTTTTTTTTCACACCCCACACACACACACACACACACACCCCAGGAAGCAGCCCGTGACAGCTGACTAACTCCCAGGTACCTATTTACTGCTAGGTAACAGGGGCATTCAGGGTGAAAGAAACTTTGCCCATTTGTTTCTGCCTCGTGCGGGAATCGAACCCACGCCACAGAATTACGAGTCCTGCGCGCTATCCACCAGGCTACGAGGCCACACAATGTGTGTGTGTGTGTGTGTGTGTGTTTACTAGTTGTGTTTACTAGTTGTGTTTTTGCGGGGGTTGAGCTTTGCTCTTTCGGCCCGCCTCTCAACTGTCAATCAACTGTTTACTAACTACTTTTTTTTTTTTTTTTTTTTTTCCCACACCACACACACACACACACCCCAGGAAGCAGCCCGTGATAGCTGACTAACTCCCAGGTACCTATTTACTGCTAGGTAACAGGGGCACTTAGGGTGAAAGAAACTTTGCCCATTTGTTTCTGCCTCGTGCGGGAATCGAACCCGCGCCACAGAATTACGAGTCCTGCGCGCTATCCACCAGGCTACGAGACCCCCTATGTGTGTGTGTGTGTAATACACACACACACACATAGGGGGTGTGTGTGTGTGTGTGTGTGTGTGTGTGTGTGTGTGTAATACACCCATCAGTCTTAGTTAACATGCAACGAATAAACCAAGTTTGTTATTAGGATGGTGGATATTAATTAATATTGAAGTTATACTGCCTGAGTTGTTTTAACTAAATCTACACCCATTATGGTAGAATGAAGAAGATGGTTAGCTCTGTCTGTCTGACTCAGTCTCTCTCTATGTCTGTCTGTCTCTGCCTGTCTGTCTCTGTCTCTATCTGTCTGTCTGTCGTTCTGTCTATGTCTCTCTCTCTCTTATTTCTTTCTATCTACTTCGTGTAATTTTATTTATCTAAATCTATACACACTATGGTATTTACCAACCTGCCTGTGTATGACATGGCATGATATGATATTTGTGAATGGTTAGTCCATTAACGCCATGGTGAAGGAGAGGAGAGGGGACAGGATGTGGGGATTAAGATGTGACAAGTGACGAGACTTAACCTGATGTCTATGACCCGGGGCGGAAGAAGGGGCGGAGAGAAGTTGGAGGAGTATGTGGTCTCTCCAAGCTGGAGTGAGTTAGGTCAGTTGTATCGCTGCCTTCGATACAACCGGATGTTCTACTGCGAGGAGGGTGAAGACATGCACAAGACGTAGACCATGCCACACCTGTGCACTTGTTGCACAGGTGTGGCACAGGTGACAGTGAGGCAATATCACTCCATCTCACTACAGCGAGGTAATATCACTCATCTCATTACAGTGAGGTAATATCACTCATCTCACTACAGCGAGGTAATATCACTCCATCTCATTACAGTGAGGTAATATCACACCATCTCATTACAGTGAGGTAATATCACACCATCTCATTACAGTGAGGTAATATCACTCCATCTCATTACAGTGAGGTAACATCATGGGCCCTTAAATAACTTGAATATATCGGTATTTACAATTCGTATGATAAAGCCGTCAGTGTGGTGAACGCTAAGAATCTCTTCGTTAATTGCAAAACGAAAGCTGCATTTGGGTAAGAAACACTGATTATAAAGATATTTTACCTGACTGTAGCCAGATCATCAGCAATAGTGTCTGCGTCGTAGTCGAAGACGGAGCCGCTGAGGAGGTTGAGCGGCCCGTGGAGGAGTGCCCACTCCCTCACCAACTCCAGCAGTTGCTGCCACCGCTTCGTTAATTGGGCGGTGAAGGGCAGTGCATTACTGATCAGGTAAGGTAAGTCACCATACTCTCTCCTGCTGCTGAACTCTGTTTAAACAGGTAGTATTAAAGTACTTTCTTACAACAGGTATTATTAAAGTACTTTCTTACAACAGGTAGTATTAAAGTACTTTCATACTACAGGTATTATTAAAGTACTTTCATACTACAGGTATTATTAAAGTACTTTCATACTACAGGTATTATTAAAGTACTTTCATACTACAGGTATTATTAAAGTACTTTCATACTACAGGTATTATTAAAGTACTTTCATACTACAGGTATTATTAAAGTACTTTCATACTACAGGTATTATTAAAGTACTTTCATACAACAGGTATTATTAAAGTACTTTCATACAACAGGTATTATTAAAGTACTTTCATACTACAGGTATTATTAAAGTACTTTCATACTACAGGTATTATTAAAGTACTTTCATACTACAGGTATTATTAAAGTACTTTCATACTACAGGTATTATTAAAGTACTTTCATACTACAGGTATTATTAAAGTACTTTCATACTACAGGTATTATTAAAGTATTCATAAATGGTGGTACATTTATGATTAGGAAGGTTTAGAAGAAAAATAATTAATTGGAATTAATTATATATGTGTTAAAATCAGATCACAGCACCTGGACTGTACCTGTAACACCTGACACCGGTCACTACTGGCTGGACTGTACCTGTAACACCGGTCACTACTGGCTGGACTGTACCTGTAACACCTGACACCGGTCACTACTGGCTGGACTGTACCTGTAACACCTGACACCGGTCACTACTGGCTGGACTGTACCTGTAACATCTGACACCGGTCACTACTGGCTGGACTGTACCTGTAACACCTGACACTGGTCACTACTGGCTGGACTGTACCTGTAACACCTGACACCGGTCACTACTGGCTGGACTGTACCTGTAACACCTGACACCGGTCACTACTGGCTGGACTGTACCTGTAACACTGGTCACTACTGGCTGGACTGTACCTGTAACACCGGTCACTACTGGCTGGACTGTACCTGTAACACCGGTCACTACTGGCTGGACTGTACCTGTAACACCGGTCACTACTAGCTGGACTGTACCTGTAACACCGGTCACTACTGGCTGGACTGTACCTGTAACACCGGTCACTACTGGCTGGACTGTACCTGTAACACTGGTCACTACTGGCTGGACTGTACCTGTAACACCTGACACTGGTCACTACTGGCTGGACTGTACCTGTAACACCTGACACTGGTCACTACTGGCTGGACTGTACCTGTAACACCGGTCACTACTGGCTGGACTGTACCTGTAACACCGGTCACTACTGGCTGGACTGTACCTGTAACACTGGTCACTACTGGCTGGACTGTAACTGTAACACCTGACACTGGTCACTACTGGCTGGACTGTACCTGTAACACCTGACACTGGTCACTACTGGCTGGACTGTACCTGTAACACCTGACACTGGTCACTACTGGCTGGACTGTACCTGTAACACCTGACACTGGTCACTACTGGCTGGACTGTACCTGTAACACCGGTCACTACTGGCTGGACTGTACCTGTAACACCGGTCACTACTGGCTGGACTGTACCTGTAACACTGGTCACTACTGGCTGGACTGTACCTGTAACACCTGACACTGGTCACTACTGGCTGGACTGTTCCTGTAACACTGGTCACTACTGGCTGGACTGTACCTGTAACACCGGTCACTACTGGCTGGACTGTACCTGTAACACCGGTCACTACTGGCTGGACTGTACCTGTAACACCTGACACCGGTCACTACTGGCTGGACTGTACCTGTAACACCTGACACTGGTCACTACTGGCTGGACTGTACCTGTAACACCGGTCACTACTGGCTGGACTGTACCTGTAACACCGGTCACTACTGGCTGGACTGTACCTGTAACACCTGACACTGGTCACTACTGGCTGGACTGTACCTGTAACACTGGTCACTACTGGCTGGACTGTACCTGTAACACCGGTCACTACTGGCTGGACTGTACCTGTAACACTGGTCACTACTGGCTGGACTGTACCTGTAACACCTGACACTGGTCACTACTGGCTGGACTGTACCTGTAACACTGGTCACTACTGGCTGGACTGTACCTGTAACACTGGTCACTACTGGCTGGACTGTACCTGTAACACCGGTCACTACTGGCTGGACTGTACCTGTAACACTGGTCACTACTGGCTGGACTGTACCTGTAACACCGGTCACTACTGGCTGGACTGTACCTGTAACACCGGTCACTACTGGCTGGACTGTACCTGTAACACCTGACACTGGTCACTACTGACTGGACTGTACCTGTAACACTGGTCACTACTGGCTGGACTGTACCTGTAACACCGGTCACTACTGGCTGGAATGTACCTGTAACACTGGTCACTACTGGCTGGACTGTACCTGTAACACCTGACACTGGTCACTACTGGCTGGACTGTACCTGTAACACTGGTCACTACTGGCTGGACTGTACCTGTAACACCGGTCACTACTGGCTGGACTGTACCTGTAACACTGGTCACTACTGGCTGGACTGTACCTGTAACACCTGACACTGGTCACTACTGGCTGGACTGTACCTGTAACACTGGTCACTACTGGCTGGACTGTACCTGTAACACTGGTCACTACTGGCTGGACTGTACCTGTAACACCGGTCACTACTGGCTGGACTGTACCTGTAACACCGGTCACTACTGGCTGGACTGTACCTGTAACACCGGTCACTACTGGCTGGACTGTACCTGTAACACCGGTCACTACTGGCTGGACTGTACCTGTAACACCTGACACTGGTCACTACTGGCTGGACTGTACCTGTAACACCTGACACTGGTCACTACTGGCTGGACTGTACCTGTAACACTGGTCACTACTGGCTGGACTGTACCTGTAACACTGGTCACTACTGGCTGGACTGTACCTGTAACACTGGTCACTACTGGCTGGACTGTACCTGTAACACCTGACACTGGTCACTACTGGCTGGACTGTACCTGTAACACCTGACACTGGTCACTACTGGCTGGACTGTACCTGTAACACCGGTCACTACTGGCTGGACTGTACCTGTAACACCGGTCACTACTGGCTGGACTGTACCTGTAACACCTGACACTGGTCACTACTGGCTGGACTGTACCTGTAACACCTGACACTGGTCACTACTGGCTGGACTGTACCTGTAACACCTGACACTGGTCACTACTGGCTGGACTGTACCTGTAACACCTGACACTGGTCACTACTGGCTGGACTGTACCTGTAACACCTGACACCTGGTCACTACTGGCTGGACTGTACCTGTAACACCTGTCACTACTGGTCACTACTGGCTGGACTGTACCTGTAACACTGGTCACTACTGGCTGGACTGTACCTGTAACACCTGACACTGGTCACTACTGGCTGGACTGTACCTGTAACACTGGTCACTACTGGCTGGACTGTACCTGTAACACCGGTCACTACTGGCTGGACTGTACCTGTAACACCGGTCACTACTGGCTGGACTGTACCTGTAACACCTGACACCGGTCACTACTGGCTGGACTGTACCTGTAACACCTGACACTGGTCACTACTGGCTGGACTGTACCTGTAACACCGGTCACTACTGGCTGGACTGTACCTGTAACACCGGTCACTACTGGCTGGACTGTACCTGTAACACCTGACACTGGTCACTACTGGCTGGACTGTACCTGTAACACTGGTCACTACTGGCTGGACTGTACCTGTAACACCGGTCACTACTGGCTGGACTGTACCTGTAACACTGGTCACTACTGGCTGGACTGTACCTGTAACACCTGACACTGGTCACTACTGGCTGGACTGTACCTGTAACACTGGTCACTACTGGCTGGACTGTACCTGTAACACTGGTCACTACTGGCTGGACTGTACCTGTAACACCGGTCACTACTGGCTGGACTGTACCTGTAACACTGGTCACTACTGGCTGGACTGTACCTGTAACACCGGTCACTACTGGCTGGACTGTACCTGTAACACCGGTCACTACTGGCTGGACTGTACCTGTAACACCTGACACTGGTCACTACTGGCTGGACTGTACCTGTAACACTGGTCACTACTGGCTGGACTGTACCTGTAACACCGGTCACTACTGGCTGGACTGTACCTGTAACACTGGTCACTACTGGCTGGACTGTACCTGTAACACCTGACACTGGTCACTACTGGCTGGACTGTACCTGTAACACTGGTCACTACTGGCTGGACTGTACCTGTAACACTGGTCACTACTGGCTGGACTGTACCTGTAACACCGGTCACTACTGGCTGGACTGTACCTGTAACACCGGTCACTACTGGCTGGACTGTACCTGTAACACCGGTCACTACTGGCTGGACTGTACCTGTAACACCGGTCACTACTGGCTGGACTGTACCTGTAACACCGGTCACTACTGGCTGGACTGTACCTGTAACACCGGTCACTACTGGCTGGACTGTACCTGTAACACCTGACACTGGTCACTACTGGCTGGACTGTACCTGTAACACTGGTCACTACTGGCTGGACTGTACCTGTAACACCGGTCACTACTGGCTGGACTGTACCTGTAACACTGGTCACTACTGGCTGGACTGTACCTGTAACACTGGTCACTACTGGCTGGACTGTACCTGTAACACCTGACACTGGTCACTACTGGCTGGACTGTACCTGTAACACCGGTCACTACTGGCTGGACTGTACCTGTAACACCGGTCACTACTGGCTGGACTGTACCTGTAACACTGGTCACTACTGGCTGGACTGTAACTGTAACACCTGACACTGGTCACTACTGGCTGGACTGTACCTGTAACACCTGACACTGGTCACTACTGGCTGGACTGTACCTGTAACACCTGACACTGGTCACTACTGGCTGGACTGTACCTGTAACACCTGACACTGGTCACTACTGGCTGGACTGTACCTGTAACACCGGTCACTACTGGCTGGACTGTACCTGTAACACCGGTCACTACTG